CCTTAGCCGGTTGAGCTATAGGCGCCGAGCCAGTAATTGTATTTCTAATAAAGTGATAAAATATTGCATGTGGCTTGGCGCTTGTGGCTCAGTTGGCTAAGGCGCTGGCCACATACACCTAAGCTGGTGGGTTCGAATCCAGCCCGGGCCCGCCAAACAATGACGGCTGCAACCAAAAAATAGCTGGGTGTTGTGGTGGGCACCTGTAGTCCCAGCTACCTGGGAGGCGGAGGCAGGAGACTTGCTTGAGCCCAGGAGTTGGAGGTTGTTGTGAGCTCTGATGCCATAGCACTCTACCCAGGGTGACAGCTTGAGGCTCTGTCTCAAATAAATAAATAAATAAATAAATAAAACATTGCATGTATTTAATGGTGCTTAGTATAGCTATTGTGTAATTTCTCACTAAATAACTGTTCTTCCTCTAATAAAAGTGGTTCCCCGTGAGTGGCTTCTAGAGAATAATGCACGTCTCCTAATCCTAAGTGGGAACAACATCTGTTTCACTTTCATGGCTAGTAAAGCTGTGAATGGACGGGCCATAGAACTGGCAAGGCTCATAGTCTTTTTGGCTTTGGTAAGTAAAAAAAATTTTTCTCCATCAAGTCGTTTAACATCACTATTCCTTCAGGAACTACCTTGAAAGAATTGAAGTGTATAGAGACTGTTTTGAAAGAATAAGTATTTAAATATATGTTTTGAAGTTTTTCTCAAAATATTAAAATATATATAATTATAATATTTGGAGTCATTCTTTATATCAACTGTCTACACTTCACATCTAAATTGTCAATATATAGCTCTGCTAAGTTACATTCAGTTTTCAAAGTTTCATTTTAAAAAAGCATCCCATTTGATTTACTTCAAAATAATCGGTGTGGGGGTGAGATGGGAAGAGGATATGAAAGTAAATGGATATAGAATTGAAACAAGTTTGGTAATTGTTGAAGCTGGAAAATGGGCACTGGAGATTATTTTTTTATCATATTTCTGTATAGTTACAGCATTTCAAAATAAAAAGTCTTAAAAAACATGTTTAATATTCATTCATTTAATATAAATTTATTGAGAGTTTACTATTTACCACCATAAACCATGTGAGATTCTAGGACTATGGAAATTAAAAGAACAAATTCCTGACCACAAGCTACTATAATCTTTTTTTTTTTTTTTTGCATTTTTTGACTGGGGCTGGGTTTGAACTTGCCACCTCCAGCATATGGGGCTGGCGCCCTACTCCTTTGAGCCACAGGCACCACCCTACTATAGTCTTTTAAGAAATATCATGATACATTGTACCCCATGATTGCATTAACGTACACAGTTATGATTTAATAAAAAAATTTTTTTAAATGTCAAGATATACATAAATAAATACAGTGAGAGAGATGGCGCTTATAACTCAGTCAGCACGGCGCTGGCCACATACACGGAGGGTGGCAGGTTCGAACCCAGCTCCGGCCAGCTAAAAATAGTGCAACTGCAACAACAACAACAAAAAATAGGCATTGTGGTGGGCACCTGTAGTCCCAGATACTTGGGAGGCTGAGGCAAGAAAATTTCTCAAGCCCAAGAGTTTGAGGTTGCTGTGAGCTGTGACACCACGGCACTCTATCCGGGGTGACAGCTTGAGACTCTGTTTCAAAAAGAAAAAAAAAAGAGAGAATACAGTGAGATAATTGCAAATATATATGCCAAAAAAGGTAGCCAAGAGAGCCAGTTTCAGGTGAGAATAGAAGACAGAGATTCTCCAATCCCAGTAGACAAGGCTTTTAGAAAATAAATAGGGCTCAGTGCCTGTGGCTCAAGTGACTAAGGCACCAGCCACATACACCTAAGGTGGCAGGTTCGAATCTAGCCCGGGCCTGCCAAACAACAGTGATGGCCGCAAGCAAAAAATAGCCAGGCATTGTGGCGGGTGCCTGTAATCCCAGCTGCTTGGGAGGTGGAGGCAGGAGACTCTTGAGCCCAGGAATTAGAGGTTGCTGTGAGCTGTGATGCCATGGCACTCTACCCAGGGCAGCAGCTTGAGGCTCTGTCTCAAAAAAAAGAAAAAGAAAATAAATAGGTCAGGTGGCGCCTATGGCTCAGTGAGTAAGGCGCCAGCCCCATATACCAAGGGTGGTGGGTTTGAACCCAGCCCCAGCCAAACTGCAACAAAAAATAGCTGGACATTGTGCGGGTGCATGTAATCCCAGCTACTTGGGAGGCTGAGGCAAGAGGATCGCCTAAGCCCAAGAACTGGAGGTCGCTGTGAGCTGTGACGCCATGGTACTCTACCAAGGGCAACAAAGTGAGACTCTGTCTCAAAAAATAAATAAATAAATAAATAAATAAAATAAAATAAATAGGTCACCAGGCAGGTATTGGGTGGCTGCACATTATTCAACACAGCAGAGAAGTAGAATCACATGACTATATTCAGGGCCCTGGAAGCAGTTCAGTATGATTTCTGAAGGGTAACTCGTACAGTAGAAGAGTAGCAGGAGGTAAGGCTGCACAGAAAGAAAGACACTAGGTAAGGAAGGACTTTTCAGGCTATTCTGCAGAGCTTGAACCCATCTTCTAATGGAAACTGCTGAGTTTTCAGGGGAGAGACATGATCTGTTTTGTGGTTTGGGGGTCACTTTGGCAGAACTATACCAAATGGAATGGAGAGGAAGTCACTAGGAGTAAAGAAGCCTTTTCTAGAAAGCTTTCTCTGATTAACATCTCAACTTTGAACATTAATGTCTCTAAATTGCCTCCAATTTGTCTTCTTCTTTTTTTTTTTTTTTTTTTGAGACAGAGCCTCAAGCTGTCCCCCTGGGTAGAGTACTGTGGCATCACAGCTCATAGCAAACTTTAACTCCTGGGCTCAAGCAAGTCTCCTGCTTCAGCCTACCAAGTAGCTGGGACCACAGGCGCTCGGCTATTTTTTGGTTGCAGCCATCATTGTTGTTTTGACGGGCCCGGGCTGGATTCAAACCCGCCACCTTAGGTGTATGTGGCTTGGCGCCTTAGCCACTTGAGCCACAGGCACCAAGCCTTGTCTTCTTTTATCTTCATTTACTGTTAGCATTTGTAAGCCATTGTATGTGTTGGGTAGGTTATCTCCCCAAATCGATTGCAAGCTCTTTGAAATCCAGGGCTGTGTTACTTGTTTCTTTCATAGTGCCTGGTACAATGCTTTACACATAATAAAACTAATACATATTTCCTATCAGATTAACATTATTTACTTATACTACTACTATACATGGTTTTTCTTCTTGTATGTTATTAGGCTATGTGAGTTCAACTGGCTGTTTAGAATGTTAATATATAAACCTTTTACTATTCAGTTTTAGCTAGGTATATGTAATGTTTACATTAAATGTTTATCTTTTTTTTTTGTTTTGCAGTTTTTGGCCGGGGCTGGTTTGAACCCGCCACCTCTGGCATATGGGGCCGGCGCCTCACTCCTTTGAGCCACAGGCACCGCCCTAAATATTTATCTTTTAAATAATAGAGAAACAAATATTCCTTCAAACTCTCAAGATCTGAAGTTGATAGCATTCTCTTGCCTATTGAAATTGCCTGTTTGGGCTCGGTGCCTGTGGCTCAAGCAGCTAAGGCGCCAGCCACATACACCTAAGGTGGCGGGTTCGAATCCCCAGCCCGGGCCCGCCAAACAACAATGATGGCTGCAACCAAAAAATGGCCAGGCGTTGTGGCGGGCGCCTGTGGTCCCAGCTACTTGGGAGGCTGAGGCAGGAGACTCGCTTGAGCCCAGGAGTTGGAGGTTGCTGTGAGCGTGATGCCATGGCACTCTACCCAGGGGGATAGCTTGAGGCTCCGTCTCAAAAAAAAAAGGAAAAAAAAAAAAGAAATTGCCTGTTTGTCTATCATCCTCATTAGCATCCTGGAAAATAGAACCGTGTCTTTATAGCTTATTATTGTAACTCCAGCTCTTAGCAGGTGCTCAATAAATGTTTCCTGAGTGAGTAAATGAACAGAAGTCTTATTTTTTATATATCTAATAACTTTTTGATATTAGATCTTACACTGATAAATAATATTCTATGATAATCTTGAACCAGACTTTTATATACCTCACACTTTTGTGTGTGTGTGTAAGACAGAGTCTCTCTTTGTTGCCCTCGATAGAGTGCCATGGCGTCACAGCTCACAGCAACCTCAAACTCCTGGGCTCAAGCAATTCTCTTGCCTCAGCCTCCCAAGTCCCTCCTGCAGCTGGGACTGCAGGCATCCACCACAACACTCAGCTATTTTTAGAAATGAGGTCTCACTCTTGCTCAAGCTGGTCTTGAACTCTTGAGCTCAGGTAATCCATCTGCCTCAGCCTCCCTGAGAACTAGGATTACAGGTGTGAGCCACCACACCTGGCCACTTCATACTTTTTTCTACTAAAATTGTACCATTTGAAAGCAAATGTGTATACATATAAGAACATTTCCCATTTTATAGAATTAATATGATGTCAATGTAATAAATTATATAAAATCATAAACCATCATTGTCAATGCCATTTTCAGATTCTATAGCTTTCTTCACATAAGGGTTTACAATAATGCTTTGTATGTCTCAATCAGGTGTGTGAAAAAGAACTGTACTGCATGAATTGGGCAGTTAAAATGATGCAGAAAGTCTGTAATGTTTTTAGCACACCATTGGAAAGAATTAACTTCCTTCAAAATGTGGCAAATGCATTTGCATGTGTTACAATGGAAATGCTGCAATCAATTACATCTGGTAAGTAGGAATATAGACGTGTGTGAGTAAAAATGCATTCTAGTCTCCACTTACGACAAAGCTAGTTCTGTGTAGACTTGTTTCTAAACTAACAATAGAAGGAACAGACATTTTTTGTTTGTTTTTCCTTGAGATATATGTTCCTGGCTTTTGTCACTTTTAAAATCTGGTATTGGTTTTTATTAGAGAAAGTAAAGTTGAAGAGTCTGCTCTGAAAGGAACCAGTTTCAATTTTGCACAGCACCAATCTTAATATGCTCACTTGCCATCTATCATAATCATTATACTTTTGTAAAAAAGGTATATATTGTCTCAATACAGTCAAATCATCTTTTATACTTTCCTGAGGATTAGAGTAAAATGTAGCAAATCAGTATCTTTTATTTGTATAGTTTCAACTAATATCATTTACAGTCTTATTAGGCAATCAACATGATAATTAACTCTATTTTACAGATGAGAAAACTAAGACTTTAAGAAATCACCAGGGCACTAGCCACATACACTGGGGCTGGCAGTTTCGAACCTGGCTTGGCTGGGCCTGTTAAACAACAGTGACAACTACAACAACAACAAAATAGCAGCTCATTGCCTGTGGCTCAAGGGGCTAAGGCACCAGCCACATACACCTTAGCTGGCAGGTTCAAATTCAGCCTGGGCCCGCCAAACACCAATGATGGTTGTAACCAAAAAATAGCCGGGCGTTGTGGCAGGCACCTGTAGTCCCAGCTACTTGGGAGGCAGAGGCAGGAGAATTGCATAAGCCCAGGAGTTGGAGGTTGCTGTGAGCTGCGATGCCACAGCAGTCTACCCAGGGTGACAGCTTGAGGCTCTGTCTCAAAAAAAAGAAAGAAAGAAAGAAAGAAAATAGCTGGGCATTGTGGCAGGTACCTGTAGTCCCACCTACTTGGGAGGCTGAGGCAAGAGAATCGTTTAACCCCAACAGTTGGAGGTTGCTATGACCTGTGATGCCATGGCACTCTACCGAGGGACTCTGTCTCAAAAAAAAAGAAATCACCTGACATACCCAAAGTCATAAAGTTAGAAGCAATTAAATGTGGCCCAGAATCTTTTTCTTCTGACTTTTATTCTAGTGTTCCATGATTTCAGTGGTTAACATCTGACTTAATGTCACTAACAGAAAGTCTTCTGTTTAAATATTATTAGGAACAATTAGAACATATTGTGTTTCAAATATATTTAAAGTTTTAACTATCATTTTCTTTTCCCTACTGTCTATTCCTGTGTTTGGCATATAGGAGACCATGATGAAGATGACAGAAGCTTTTTGAATTTGTTCCATCTTGTACATGCTCAGGCTAACTTCCATAAAGAGGTCCTGTATTTAACCATGAATACTTTCTCTACCTAAGTACTCAGGAAGCCTTACCTTTAGAAAACCTCACTGAATTAACAATGAGAAGAGTGCTACTTTTTCTTTTTCACATTCCAAAAATTAGCATCCATGAGACTTTTCGTCATTTAAGTGACCTAAGAATTCAAAAACTGCATAGAATTTTAGAAGCAACTGTTTACATCATTAATATTAATATAAAAATAATAGGCAAACCCAAGAATGTATTGAGATTTCTCTGAAAAACAAGCCCTGCCTCTCCAGGTTTTGTTCATTCTCACATCAAACTAAAGTAGAATGTTAGCTGTCCAAGAATCTTGGGCTGCCCAACCTGTATCTAGGATCTTTGAAGCAAGAGAAAATTCTGTTTTATAGTTAGAGCAGACCCAAATTCACTAAATAGTTATATCTGTTACTTTACTTAAGTTGTATAGACATAGCCCAGAATGTTTTGTAAAAATTTGCAATATGGTGTTTTGGAATGTGCAGAATATAAATTGCATTTTTTACCACCTTCTTGGCATATGCTTACAAAGAACATTATATTTTGTTCATGTTTTGCATGAACTAACAGATAAAAAAACCAAAGGAAGTTGTGCACGTGTGTATATATATACACACATATATATGTAAATATACATATAGACATGTGCAACAGACTTATATTTCCTTCTTTAAGATGAATCATGTAAAAAGTCTATAAGTAGAAAAAGGCATATATTGTCTCAATACAATCAAATCATCTTTTATACTTTCTTGGGGATTAGAGTAAAACATAGCAAATAGGCTCGGCGCCTGTGGCTCAACTGGCTAAGGCGCCAGCCATGTACACCTAAGGTGGCGGGTTCGAATCCCCAGCCCGGACCCACCAAACAACAATGACAGCTGCAACCAAAAAATAGCCGGGCATTGTGGCGGGCGCCTGTGGTCCCAGCTACTTGGGAGGCGGA